TCCACTAATTTTGTCACTTGGTCAAAGAATGCAATAAGATTTGTCTGGCATGATCTATTTTTGACAAACCCATGTTGGCTTTTAGTAATGACTTTGTTTGCCTCTAGGTGTTCGTTGATTCGTTGTTTGATTATCTTTTCCAGGATCTTCCCAGGTATTGAGGTCAGGCTGATAGGTCTGTAATTTCCTGGGTCCATTTGTTTTCCTTTTTTGAGGATGGGAACTACATCAGCTCTTTTCCAGTCCTCTGGTAGTTCCCCTGTGCTCCAGGATCTCTGAAAAATATAGTTCAGTGGTTCAGAGATCACATTTGCTAGTTCCTTGAGAACCTTGGGGTGTAATCCATCTGGTCCTGGCGATTTGAACTCGTCTAGGCTGGACAGGTGCTCACTCATTAACAATACTTTTAAAATGGATTGTGTTACTTTTAATATTCATATATTTCTTTACAAGTTTTGTTGTTGCTGTTGTTCTGCATTTTGACTTTTTCTTTCTGACTCACATGAATGTTCTTTGATACATTCAGTCAGCTACTTATATTGGAAAAGAGGAAAATAACACTCTTGTGATGTTTAGGAATTTCAACTGCTTTGTCAAACTGATCCCTGGTCTATCCTTTCCAAAAGAAATATTCTTTGCCACTGGTCAATCTGTTCTATAGATGTCTCTCTCTGATCCTGCTTGACCGCTGAGTCCTCAGCTGCGGATACCTCCTCCAACTATACCTGGATTGACAAAAGACAGCTCCCCCCCAATAGTGCAAATGCAATTCTAGAAGTGTCTAACAACCAATCAACATCTCCTCCTTCATTGCTGAACAGCTCTGTCCTTAGTAGTTTGTCCTAAAAAGGAGATTCTGATTAGGCAGAAATCTAGATGTGCAGTATATCTGACTCTTTTCCAGGACTGGCAAATAGGCAGGGGAGAACTGCTATCTTTTCATCTGGAGATCACTTCATAATTAGAGGATCTCATGTTATCGTGGCACATAGCGAAGCAGAAGTTCTCAAGTTGTCTAGAAGACATCTTGAAAGTTTATACATTCACTTGTACATTCTTGGTTGTTCTTAATAAAAGCCTTAAAGATCAATGGTGTGTGTTTACTTCTCACAGAATTACCTTGGGTGTTCCAATTTCTAAAATGGAGGGGAAGAGGATGGGACAGTCCTCTAAAGGAGAGGTGGGGAACGATGGCCCCTTTATGACTTATGGACTTCAACTCCCAGAATTCCTGAGCAGCATAGCTGGCTCAAGAATTCTGGGAGCTGAAGTCCACAAGTCATAAAAGGGTCATCATTCCCCACCCCTGCTCTAGAGACCCTAACTTGTGGAGAATACTCCCTATTGCAGCACTGATGAAATATTGTATCCACTCTACATTGTCTTGGATTTGAACTCCAATTCCACTTAAAGGACTGTCTTTTCTAGCACCATTTTGAAGATCTACACGGGAGGTTTCTTTATGCGCTCACTTGTCAAAGCAAATGGGATAAGTGGTCGTGAAAGCAGGGCTTTTTTTACTAAGGCCTTGAGGATTCTGGGGAAAAAATTATTTGGAGGAATGTTACATTAAAATATCTTCATCAGAATGTCTCATCTCTATTCAAGATTGCTTCAATTCTTATCAAGAACTTTGCGTTCAATGAGGGAATATTCTGTCTCATATTTTTCATCTAACGTCTAATAAACTATGGTCCTACACTTTGCAGATTCTAGCTTGCAGAAGAGTTCAAAGGTCACAA